GGTATAGTAATTAACTCTCTCCATGTATAAGGAACTCGGTCTTCCTCTTAGATCTTCTAAAAGTATGAAAGCTATCATGAGAATTGCTCCAACCTCTTTAGAAACGGTTGGTGGTGCGTTGCCTGATCCAGAAGCCTTCTGACATTTCAGGGCTTGGAATGAAGTTTGGATCTCTGTCTCTGTGGGTGGTGCCCTGAATAGTGACTATGGTGCACTTTCAGAACTAGTTGGTTGAATGGCAATGTGGAGTGCTCTACCCAAGCGCGACGAAGCCGTCTACTTTGCAAACTATTTCACTAACGCACTGCCCTTTGGAGCCAGCAGCACGAGTGAGTTGGAGCAATCGCCTGATGTTTCCGCAACTAGCTGTCGATTCTCTCCTTCTGGTTTCTCGGTTGTCTTTTAAACTCCTCGTGAGTTCGTGTTTCAAGGAGAGACGTTGCTCTTGATACTTCATTCTGTTGGAATTACCCGACGCGCGTTCAGAAGTCGGGTTAGGCCACAACTGCGCGAACCGACTGAGTGAACTGCGTTTCGGATGGTTGCCCAGTGTCGTTCTACACTCCTTGGTGAGACAGTAGTTAGTCTTGCAGCCAAATCATCTTGACAGTCGGCCAGCAGGGTTGGGTGGGGATCTCCGTGTCAGTTTGATCCGTAGTCTGAGACCGAGTGACATGGCTAAGTGTAGTGATATTCGTGGGGTTACTGAATTTATTTGCAGCCCTACTCTACGTGGATGTTCACGGAAGTGAAATAGTGGATAAATAAATTGAGAATGATAAATCACTGATTAATGGTTAAAAATAATTTAAATTTCACTGATGTGGCGGTAACGGAGACATGCAACGAAAATTAACGGAGGAAAACAGAAATTAAACTAAGCAAATTCGCAAAATAAAATCAGATACGAAATAACCCTTTTTTCAGTCTCATTCTAACCAAAAGGCCCAAAGATGACGAAAAGGTGACTGCGACAGAACTTTTACAGAAAGCTAAAAAAAATAGAACAATCTCGGGTGACTAACCCCACAGGTGGTAGAGTTTCAGTATCTAATCGACTGTCGGACCAATTATTCGAACCATAACGTTCATCTGCATCAAAATTATCCGCTAAAATATCGGAATAGTTGTCCTGTATGCTGGATGTTAGACCCCGCGATCGCGAAGTTGCACCAGCACCCCGAGAGCCAGTAGGTAACTTTCTGGAATACATCAAATTCGAATTGTGAGAACCCGAGTCCGCTTGAGTGGTTTGGCGGAACCATCGAGCCACAGGGCAACCTTTTCGTGCGCAAGCGCATTTGACCAGATATCGACAGGCGGTGAAGTCGAAATCAAAGGGTAAGGTCAATTCGGTATTTCTCATGATAGGTCGATTCGCCACGATCAAAAGACGAATCCGTGGAGTGGGTCCCGATATAGGATCATTGGTGATCGATAAACAGTGTTTGACCTGTGTTAAAAAAAGGAGTAATTGGACTAAACATTACAATGACGGAACAACTAAAACCTTTAGAATAATCACAATAGCATAAAGGGATCGTAATATTGAAATCAACTTCTCGGGCACGTTCTTCAGAGAGAGACAGTGGCGGAGTTGAGAACGGTCGACTGAATCGAAGGCCACTTTCAGATCGAGGGATGGTGGGTCTAAGATAGAATTTGGCGAAGAGTGAAGATGTGGTCGATACAACCTCGACCAGGCCTAAAGCCAGCCTGGTTCTCACGCGCGCATTCTTCAACTGCGCAGACAACCGACGGATTACGACCCCGGCGAGCAGTTTAGACACGATGTTGATTAAACTGATTCCTCTGTGGTTTTCACAAGAGAATCTGTCGCCTTTCTTGTAAATCGGTTGGATAACCTATTCACGCCACTCAGGGGTTTCGTGAACTCCAAAACTAACGCTGAGCTTCAATCCTTAAAAGCCGATGGGAACAGTCCATCTGGGCTGGAGGCCTTATGCTTTACGAGAAAACCTATTTCCCAGGGAAACCTCCATTTCAAATGAAGGCCTGGCAACAACTGGGATTATTTACCGGGTTGAGGTGGGGGTGACAGGTATAATGCCGATGAGGGGGGGTGGCAGTTGAACTGAGCCCCGCAATGTTCAGCCCATCGATCAAGACGGCATTGTTGATGACGAACTAGTGTGCCATCGGACCCCTTAATTACGTCACTTACGCCTACCTCCCTTGAGCACGTAATCCTAAATAAACGGAAGAGTGTGAGTATTGCCAATAGCCGCAGCTTTCTCCATCTCTCTACACTTTGTTACCCACCATTTCTCGCGATCATTCCTCAGACTCACGATGAGCAGGCGTTTAAGGAATGTGCATATCATATTTGACTTCCGAAATAACGGTTCAGCGGGCGTACAGCAAGGTAGTCGAGGTCGACCAGATCCATCATTTGTGCTTTGAGTCTACGTCAGAGTCCGCCGTTGATTTTATCGATATTTGAACTGCTTTCTTGATTTTATTCCAATGTTGATTGAGTCCTTCGGCTGGTGGTTGAACTGAGAGGCAATCGGAGAGTACCGCTTCAAAGGTCGATTTGCACCCATCGCTGACATTGTTTCGTAGGTATCCGCGGGCGGTAGCGTTATTACTGTTTTTTTGCGAAGCGTGAGGAGAATTCGGCTTGTAACAAAGCGTGGTTCGTATAAACAGGTGCTGACCAGTGAGAGTGGCAGTCTTGAATGGACCTCCTCCAGCGGTACTCAATGGCGGTGGTTGATCTGGGTCCATCTCTATGAAGATCATCATCATCATCGTACAGCGAGATACAGTAAAGCGAGCTTCACTGATCGCTGCCAAGCTCACAATGTACACAAATCAAATGATAAAGCAAAAGATGGAGAGGGATTGGGCCTACTTGGTGGGAGGCAAAGAAAAGGAACCTCTATGTTCAACACACAGAGTACACAACAACAAGAGCGCCACTGCTGTCGGTCAGTCACCATATCCTTTAATGTCTCCAGC